ACATCTACTACTTACATAATTTAGGGCTGCACGAAATTGGAAAAACCTCACATTGCAATATTTAGTTTTTCTGCCATATATATTGCGATATCAAAAAATAATCACCAGATGACTGGAATAGCTCTATTTGGAAAAAAAGAATCAGTGATTTTGTAGGTGAGTGAATCAGCATAGAAAATAAACAAATTACAAGCATAGATAAATATAACAGAACAAAGATACAAATTAAATAAACAGTGCTTTATATTTTTCAGGTAAGTCTAACCGTATTCAGGCACAGAAATTGAATAATCAAATGTAAAATAACACTGCATAGTCTTCACTGTATAAATTAAATTAATAAATCTGTGTTAAAGCTACAAAAGTGATTTTTCTCTGTGTTTTGATGTTTGATTAATGTTCGTGACACAGAAAGCCTCAGGAACATTAAACTGCTGTAAACCAGTATACTGTTACACAGCCATTTTCTTTCTCACTTGTTTACCTTCACCTTAAACCAGAAGCAACGGTTACAAGATTCTTGCAGAGACATGCATTTTTACATACTTTTGCGCGTATGTGTCATTAATAGACGTGTAAGTGAACGGAATCTGTTAATCTGCGTGGCTCTCACCGTGTCTACACCAGACGCGAGCGGCGATGCAGCAAAATACTACAGAACTCATTATAGTCTGTGATGCTGTCTACTGATGCGATGCGACAAATCCCTGGCAGTAAACTGCTGCCGTGTTTTATTAATGACGAACTGACACAAAGTTCACATGATTTGCAGCAGTCGCTTTTCACGTCCAGTGTAGCAGACTGCGGCTAGACAGACTAGACACGGTGTCTGTGTGTTCAAAGAAAACAATCAGTATAAATATAACGATCAGTATACTAAACATCGCACATCCCACGATGTGACTATTGCAGATGCACATCGTGATAACGATGCTGAATAGTATCTGTGCAATCAAGTCGACGATATCGCTGGAAAATAAGTGTCCCTAACTAAGCAAGCCAGAGGCGACAGCGGTTGAAACTATATATTGTGCAGCCCTAACGCAAATATTGATCAAACTACAAACAAGACAAAACTATAATACAGAACTATACAGAAAAGATTTATTTATTGTTTACCTTTAGTCTATGATTAGCTCACCTCACCTCTTATCTGACCAGTCTTCGGGTTTGAGTCGTTTGTTCATCACGTGACAGCCCCGTAAACAAAGCTGATGAACGAACGACTGGAAAAACCCAAAGACTTGAAACAGGTGAACTAATTCCAGTACAGAACCTATAGGATGTTGTGCATGTGTGACTGAACGAATCCCTCCCCGAGACGACTCTTTATTCCAGAGTCACATTAAAGATTCGTTCAAGAATGACCCATCACTATAATCAAGGCCACGTCTCACTCTCTCTCGTCTGCATGTGGAGGACATTCTGCAGGTCAGTTGAGTTTGGGACAATCTCGTTTGATTGGAAAGCCGCAGGAGTTCAGTGTCTCTCTCTCACACAGGAAATGACCTCATGGCCTCCACTGCTGACGACCATTTGCTCGCCAACCACAGCCGAGCCGCCCAAGGTCCTCTCCACTAACGAGGTTAGATCAGAGTAAAGGGTTTCGTTGGTTCTCACTGAAACACTAGCATTCAGACTTATTCTTGAGCTCATTCTTTTTTTGAACTTTAATGCTTGTAACTGTTTTGACAGGAGACACATGGAATACCGGCCCTCAGTAAGTGTGTGTGTGTGTGTGTGTGTGTGTGTGTGTGTATGTTGTTGAAGTCGGTTTATGTGCTTTTAAGTTGTTGTGTTGTTCTTTACTAGAAGTTCATGAATCATCAGACAAAGTTCAGCTGGAATCTCAGTGAGTATCAGATCAGATCTTTGTCTTGAGCTGATGTGAAGGTGCTACAAAAAGGTCAAGATGAAGATTTCTCCCCTCTCTCTTCAGCTAATGTTTTAACTTTACTCTCTGTGTGTGTGTGTGTGTGTGTGTAGAGGTGGTTCCAGCAGCTCCAGTGTCTCTGACAGCAGTTCAGACACTGACAGTGAAAAGAGCAGCAGCCCAGATGAACCAGCAGCTCCTGAGACATTACACACACAGGTACACACGCACGCACACACATGCACACACACAGGCGGACACACACACACACACACACACACAGGTGCACATGCACACACACACACACACACACACACCAGTACACACACAGGTACACATGCGCGCACACACACATACACAGGTACACACACACATGTATGAATGTTCCTGAAACAGGAGTTTCTTGCATACAACTTATTTTGCCATGATGAGTAAGAACAGCATCTTCATCCTCACTTTTTCGTCATCCTGATGTGTGCGTGTGTGTTTAGCCACAGAAAGAGAGTGACTGGCAGCTAGGACGGTGGTTAGAAAGGAAAGGAAACCAGCACCAGCAGAACCCTAGGAGCCCATGTGATGCCATCAGGCCCAACTCCCATGATTCCTCTGACAGGACTGAGGCTCCAGGGTCACAGACTTGCCACAGTGACCCAGCTGACGGCGGCAAAGCGTCCGATCTCAGACAGACTGTGGGGAGCACGAGCATGTGTGAGGATCTGCTGTTAGAAAGCACATCCACACACAGACCCAAACACAAGAGAAGGAAAACGGCACATCACACAGAGCAGAAGAGAACGACAGCAGACACCAACAACATCAGCAAACAAACACATTCGCCACTGCTGGTGAAGATCAAGCTGAAGCTGCTCTCCAGGATCCCACGGGAGCCCAAAGCAGCTCCGCCTCACACAGAGAACAGCAGAGCATCGAGACGCAAGAGAGCGGTGAGCACAGCTAACACCTGACCCCTGACCCCTGACTCACTACTGCTGCAGAGTAACGAAGAGCTGCCATCGAACATTCCAGAATCACGTTCACTCATTTTATTGTATGTGACATACTTTGGGGGGGTGTGTGTGTGTGTGTGTGTGTGTGTGTGTGTGTGGGTGT